GAATGTAATCTTTTTTGTTTGGAGCAACCAAGGCAAGGAAATTGGAAAATGAGTACTGAATGTGTACTAAATAAAAGTACGCATAGGCGTGTATGCTCAGATGTGTCTGACACTTTTCTGACCCCATGGACTGTAGCCCACCAGGACCTTCTGTCCATGAAATTCCCCAAGCAAGAAGACTGGAGTGGGTTGCCATTTCCTCCACCAGGGGATCTTCTTCCAGGGGAACCTTTCCAACTCAGGGATCAAACCCGAGTCTTCTGGAGTTTCCTTCATTGCAGGTGGATTCTTTACCTTTGAGCCCATCAAGGAAACCCAGTCATAAGGTGAGAGCGGGAGTTAAATACCATTTTGTTAGCTATAACCATAACAGAATGAATTTGTCATTTTGCAGAAACTAAGAATACAAGTTATTAAAGTGGCTGTATATCTTCTTGCTTTCTTTGGCTATTGACCCTTGGCTATATATCAGGCATCCTTAGGGTGCTATCTTGACCAAGAGAGATGACTTGAGTGTGGGTGGACTAATACAGAAAGCTAACAGGTGTCTCAGGAGCGTTGCTTGAAAAGAGTAGAACCCTGCCCCCTTTACTGAACATTCACTGAACTAGTATCTTCCAAGAGTCTCTTTAAGCAACTAATTTCTTCCAAATAGAGATATTGGGATGGAAATAAAGTAAACATGTTATTATCCATATTCAGAAATATATTTATATATGTGTGTCTTTCTGTCTGCAAAGGTCTTTCTGTCTATAAAAGTTTCCCATAGCCTTTAGTCTCTGACTTGAAGGGAAAATACTCTTTGTAACTAATTCTGCTACTTTTCCCTACCCTATGAAAGTCCTCAAAGCAAGGTCTTTAGAGCTTGAATCTCTCTGAAGTGCCTTGTAATAAGCTTATTGTTAGGGCAAAGGTAACTTGACATTCCCACTTGTAATCAATAGCCAGTATTCATAGCATTGTTAGTTTCGAGTGGCTCTAATTGAATCTCCAAATGTGTCCTGCCCTGATCAGAAACTTGAAAGACAGGCATGCTTCTTCCCTTCATGCATATGGGTGAAATTTGGTGGAGTTCCTAACCTCTTCAAAAAATCAACCGTAGGAGTCAGGCTGATGCCAACCAGTTGGGGAAGTGATTAGTCAAAGAGAGTATGAAGCTTAAAAGCCCAAGATGAAGATAATAAGAGTCTCCTGGATTTAGAGAGAAAAACCTGTGACTTGAACAGAGGTTAACAGCCCAGCATGCTTGCCTTAGGAATTACTCACCAAGAAGCTGGATTATTATGGAGTCTTCCCTGATGGCTCAGTGGTAAAGAGTCTACCTGCAATGCAGGAGACATAGGTTTGGTCCCAGGATCAGGAAGAGCCGCTGGAGGAGAAAATGGCAATCTGCTCCAGCGTTCTTGTGGAAAATCCCATGGACAGAGGGGCCTGGTGGGCTACAGCCCACAGGGTTGGAAAGAGTCGGACATGACTGAGCTGCACACATGCATGCAAGCAGGCCTGGATTCCAACTCCTGCCCCTCCAACTCCCTCACAAGCTCTGAACCTCAGTTGCTCATTCATAAAATGAAGAGCGTTGTGTATACATCATAAGGTTTGAGTGAGGAGATCACATCAGATAATATTAGGGCTCCCCCCCTTTACTAGGTCATCCAACTTGGCTCTTCATGATCACAAGTGCCACTGCCATTTCCTGAATGTCCTCTTCATTCCTTTCAGTCATTCCTTCCTCTCCTTCAAAACTGATTTCTGGATTTCCCTGCTGGTCCACTGGTTAAGAATCCACCTGCAGTGCTGAGGATGTGGGTTCTATCCCTGGTCTGGGAAGATTCCACATGCTGCAGGGGCAACTAAGCCCATGTGCCACAACTACTGAGTCCTTTCTTCCTAGAGCCCTGGAGATGCAACTAATGAGAAACCCAAGTGCTGCAACTAGAGAAAGCCTGCACTAGCAACAAAGATCCATCACAGCCATAAATTAATTAATTAAATTTTTTTTAAAAACCTGATTTCTTCCAAGAGGTCTAACCCTAGGCCAGTTGTTTAATTCCATATTCTTCTAGATCAAGTTCATCTATTAACTTATCTAATTTAGAATGCATTATTCTGTACTTGTTTATGAGTGGCATTCATGGCTTTGATTGCCTTTTAATTTCATGATTTACCTTTGAGGTTGAATAGTAAATACTTTGAGGACAACAACTGTCTCTTCTATTTGTCTGTTTGCATTTTCTGTCCTTTTGGGCCTATTATACCAGCTTGCATGGGGTAGATGATTCCCTAATGGGGTGGCCCTAAGCCCCACCACTGTCTTGGGCACACATATATGAGCATTCTTATATATTTCCCGTGGATGCGTACTAGGAATCAGGTGTTTTATAACAATTTTTAAGAGAAGTTTTGCCCTAAACTCGATCTTTCTCCCTTCATCTCTAATGCAAATTCAACTCCTTTCCTAAACGTTTTCTGGCCTTAGAGATTAGGGCCATTATCCTGCTTATTATCCCATATGCATGGTCTTGAAGAGTTGTTAAATTCAGTTTCAGTCTTCTTTCTCCAAGTGAAAAACAGTTTCTTAAAGCTTCTCTTAGAGGTTCTACCTTATAACCACTTATTAATGCTGTCATTCTTCCTCTCATTTCTTCTCTTAAGCTGTGATCCTGTTGAATACAGATCTCTGGGTAAGATCTGATCAGTGTCAAATAGGAATTATTTATGCGGTGCTAATGTAGCTTGATCAAGGATAGGTGATCTAGGATAGGCGACCATGGAAGCCTATGGGATTAGCCCCTGTTTGTCTGGATTGGGAGAGGTACTGACCTGGCTGAGTAGTGCACCCCAGAAATCTGAACAGGACTCGGGGGGCTGGGTTCTTAAACCCGGGAACACTTAAGTTTAAAGCACTTGAAAGCTTTCAAGGAAAAGAAGCAATGTTAGAGTCATCTGTGACTGGCAAGTAATCTGTGACAGGGAATCTGAATGCAAATAGAAGGACGAACACAGGGTGTGGGGAGGAATCACAAGCAAAGGGACGTCAAGTAAACGATCCATTTTGTTTCCAAGGCACAGACACCCCTCCACCCTGGTGGAGCCATCCTAAGTACCCCTTCTGTGGGCCTCAGCTTCCTCTTCTATATTATGAAAGTGCTTGGATTAAACACTCTCTTTTGAGTCCCTTCTAATTCTGAATTTGTATTCACAAAACTGACTCAGAGAAAATGTGAGTATATCTGTGAAAAGCTACCAATGTCCCAAACTCAGACTGAACTGGATGGGTGAGCACTGCCCAGGGAGCCAGTCTGCTGGGTGGGCGCTGGGGCTCTGGGGTCAGCTGGTGGCAGGTGCTGCTGGGGTGGGACTGGGGTTTGAATCCTTCTGCCAGGAGCAAGGTGCTTTTCTTCTTAGAACTGCAAAATCTTCATTTGTAAAATGGGAAGGATACTAACACATTTGGAATTGTAGGTTTAAATTAGATAATGCAAGCAAAATGCTTGTATAATAATATCTAAAATCTTCCATCTATCAAGCACATGGCCAGTATCTATTGTATTAATATTTTTGAAATGAGAATTTTTAAATCTTTCTCACCCTTTTATTTCTATCTCTATTAAATGTGTAGAAAATATTGCAACCAAATCAGGTAATTTGTTGTAGTGGTGTTTGTTTTTTAACACATTTGCCTTTTCTCGTTTTAACAGAATGAATCCTAATTCATTCAGCCTTCCTGAATATCGTATTCAGATACACACACCATCCATGCTTACATCTCTAACTGCCATCACTCATTCTCTATTCTTTTTCATTTGTGAAATTGAACCGAGAGAGTAATTATTCAGCAGCTCTCGTGTGCCAGCGGCAGCCAGTCGGGATTCCTTATTCCGTTGATGTCACCATTTAGATGCTGTTCTCTACACCTTGGCCTATTCCTCCGGAACTTCACTTTGCTCGTTTTAACAGTTTCCACGTCCACCTCGTCCTCCATCTGACTCGTCATGAGGCTGGATGCCCCACTGCCAGCTTCGCACCCGGTTGATACAGAATTCAGCTCCACCAAGCTGAGAGGGCGCGCCTCCCCGGGCCAGGGTGGGGCACCAGGTTACCAGCGGCCTCCTGCCTTTTGGGTTTAGTTCCCCGCAGGGGACGCCGTAGGCGGCTGTGCGGTCCGGCCACTGCCCCCCACCCCTCGCGTCCGGCCGCGCCGTGGGTTGCGGTCTCCGTGGGGGCGGCAGCTCCTGTACTGGAGGTTTGCGCCTGGCGGGGCACCCCGGAGCCCCAGAGGCGAGGCCAAGGCGGGGTGGGGCGCGTCCGGGCGGGGAGGGCACACTCAGGCAGTGCGGGGGGCGCAGAGGGCAGGGGCGGGCGGACGCGCGACGGAGGAGCGAGAGGAACGAGGGCTGGCTAGTGCCGGGGCCGCCCGCCCGAGGGGGAGGAGGCTGCGCTGCCCTTGCCGCAGGTTTGCTGTCGAGCGCGCAGGAGGCAGGGACATGGGTAGGGTGCGGTCTGCGCGGGGCCCGAGCCCGGATCTCTTCCATTTCCCCTCTCACTCGGCCCCGGGCTGCGCCGCAGACGGCAGCAGCTCCCGCTCCGCCCCAGCCGCCTGACCGCGGGGCCGGGGTGCTAACCGCGGGGCCCGCCAGCCGGCCGGCCCGGCCAGCCCAGCCCAGCCCGGCGGCCCGCAGCCCCGCCGCCCGCCGCCCCCCGCCGCCGCCGCGTTGCCAAAACAAACGGGCCGGCCTATTTATTGGCGGCCGGCGAGCCGGGCAGCTCAGAGTCGAGGCGCCGAGGGGGACAGCGCGCCGCCACCAGCCAGGGCCCCAGGCCCCCGCCCCGCACCTGAGTCCCGCCGGCCGTGCGCCGCGCCGCGCAGCCCATGGCGCCCCCACCTGGAGCCCCCAGGAGCCACCCGGACGCCTGAGCCCCCGCAGCGCTCCGGTCGACTCGCCCACCCATCAGCCCACCAGGCGTCCTCGCCCGCCGCTCCTCGGGGCTCCCCTGCCATGTCTCCCGCCCGGCTCCGGCCCCGCCTGCGGTTCTGCCTGCTCCTGCTGCTGCTGCTGGTGGTGCCGGCGGCGCGGGGCTGCGGGCCGGGCCGGGTGGTGGGCAGCCGCCGGCGGCCGCCGCGCAAGCTCGTGCCGCTCGCGTATAAACAGTTCAGCCCCAACGTGCCCGAGAAGACCCTGGGCGCCAGCGGCCGCTATGAGGGCAAGATCGCGCGCAGCTCGGAGCGCTTCAAGGAGCTCACCCCCAACTACAATCCAGACATCATCTTCAAGGACGAGGAGAACACCGGCGCCGACCGCCTCATGACCCAGGTGAGCGCGACCCGCCCTCGCAGGGCGCCGCCGCCGAAGCACCGCCACCTGCCCGGCCCTACCCGCCCCCTGGCACCTTTCCTTGACTGGCTGGCACGCCCCCTGGCACCTGCCCCTCTCGCCGAGATGGGCCGGCTGGGGTCCCGGCGGAGTGCTGGCAATCCCCGAGCCCGCCGGAGGCTGTGAGAAGAGCTCCCCTCTGCCAAGCGCCACAGCCCAGCGGGTTGGCGGTGGCCCCTTCGGCCCTGGAGTGCTGGCAGCTCAGGTCAGACGCGGCTCCTGGAGGTACCTCTGCCCGACTGCCTCCCGCGCCTGCAAGATGCACCAGTCCCTCTGGCCTAACCTTCCGCACGGCTGCGCCCCTTTCAAGTCGAGGCGATTCGGCAACCCGAGAGGCGAAGCTCCGGGCGTGGAGGGTCCCACTGACCTTTCCTGCCCGCGCGCTCTCGGTTCGCTGGGAGGCCCCCTCCGGGGTCTGGGTTAAAGGAACAGCGGGCAATGGTAGAGCCAAGAGGCGGAGGTAGGGAAGGGATCTTGCCGGGGAGCCCACGTGTCTATCCCCAGAGCCAAGCGGCGCAGCTGCAGTTGAAGGGTGGGGGTGCCGGGCCGCCGGGCTCTGGGACCGAACTTGGGGGAATCCCTGGGTTTGGTACTGGATGGATTGAAAGAGAGGGGCTGGGGTGCCGGCAGCCCCACAGCAGAGCTAAGGCTAATCGTAAGGGTTCGGAACAGGAGGCGCGCTCAACCCAAGTACCTGGGGGAAGGGTGGGGGTGGCGGGGCGGGGAGCACACTTTCTTCCTTGAGGCCGAGTTCGAGGGAAAGTGACCTAGGTCCCCTTCCTCGGTGGGCTTCCACTGCAGGCAGGCAGCCTGCTTTCTAGATGCTTTGGGAAGGGCAGTTAGACCACGGCCCGCAGCACGCGCCCAGGCGCCGGGGCTGGCCGGCGGTGTCGGGCGAAGGTTGACTGGTGGCTGGGCCGGGCCGGGCGCCGAGGAATGCAGATAAGGATCCGGGCCACGGACTGGGCAATCATTGACAGCGCGTGCCCGGGCTCTGGACCCGAGTAGGGGAGGGGTGGGGGGTGGGGGGAAACAGGGGCGGGGAGCAGGGGCCGCGGGACAGACATAGGTGGGTGGCTAGAACCCTGGCGGCCAGGAGCACGCGGAGCTCCCTCTGGGGGCAGTGAGCGCCCCCAGCTAGATTGCAGCCTCGGAGGACCGACGGGGTCTTGGGTTTTAGCCTGTTGGCTCCTGGGAGACCGAGTCCAAGTGTCTGTGGGGGCCCTCGGCTCTGAGGGGTGGAGTAGGTTGAGAGGTGGGCTGCCCACACCTGGCAGCTCCTGGCACCTCTGTGTGAAGGACTGTGGAAGGACTCCTCTTCCCAGGCCCCTCTCCTAAGGCAGCTGCGGGGTTCCTCGGGTTCCAGGTACGAAGAGAGCCAGCGCAGACGATGTTCTCTACAGTCCTTCCCCCAGCGCGGCTCGTCTCCCAATTCATGGGAGGCGGAGCATGAAGTGAGCACCCCGAGGTCAAACGCTCCGTTTCTCGGGTCCTTTCCCAGATAGGGGTGGCGCGGGGGTGCTGAGTGCTCTTGACTCAGGGAGAACGCTACTTGGCGTTTATCAACCCGGAGCCCACCCCTCCCATCGGGAGACAAGCCGCGCGGTCCTCCATCTGGCCGGGTCAGACGCTAGCCGTATCACCAGCTTTCGTTCCCGGGCTGCCGCTTCCCCGGAGCGGGCGTAGCCGGTTTGGGATCGTGAGGGTCCCAGCGGGAATGACTCGTGGCACCGAGGAATCCCGGCAGGCTTGGGATTCCCCTCCAACACACCCCCCAAGCTGCCGAGGCGCTCCGCACCTGCCGCGCCCCGGCCGCTTCTCGGGCCTCAGCCCTGGGGCTACGGTGACACCTACTGGGCACCTCGAGCCTTGCACGCCTAGCAGGCCGGCCTCAGGCAAGTCAGCTCCGGTACGTCCTTTACCCTCCAGGCAGCAGGCGGTCCCCTGCTGGTCCCCTGGTGAGACAGAAGGGCCCGGCGCTCAAAAGGTGCCCTAACTCCAACAAGAGAGAGAGCTTAGAGACAGGCCCCCACGGGTGAGCGGATGGACGCGCCTTCCAGATTTGTGTAGCCACCGCGCGGTCCAGATCCCGATGGAGTCAGGGGATGCTAGAATGGAAGGAAGCACTTTAGGGCTCTCTGTTTCTAAGAGAGAAGGACGGAGCACCCTACCGGGTTTCCAAGCTCCAGCGAGTGCTGTAGGAGAGTAAGGGGCGGGGCTGCGCGCTCACCTGCACGCGGGCTAGCCCCTCCCCCAACTCTGCTCCCTCCCCTCCCGCAGCGCTGCAAGGATCGCCTGAACTCGCTGGCCATCTCGGTGATGAACCAGTGGCCCGGGGTGAAGCTACGGGTGACCGAGGGCTGGGACGAGGACGGTCACCACTCGGAGGAGTCGCTGCATTACGAAGGCCGCGCGGTGGACATCACCACGTCGGACCGCGACCGCAATAAGTACGGACTGCTGGCGCGCTTGGCAGTGGAGGCCGGCTTCGACTGGGTGTATTACGAGTCCAAGGCCCACGTGCATTGCTCCGTCAAGTCCGGTGAGCCGCTGCCGGGGGACTGGGCCCGGGGCCGGGGCCGCAGGGCGTGGGCAGGCGGCGCTGGGCCCGCGGGAGCCAAGAAGGTGAAGAGGCCCACCCAGGGATGGAGGCGGGGACCCCGGGGACCAGGACGTCAGCGGCGCTCCCCACTGCTGCTCTTGACCACCTGCTCGGCCCGTGCCTGATAGTGTCATGGCAGGAGCCTAGGGAGACAGGGTCCTGTCCCAGCGATGCTGGGTGCTGACCAGGCGGTCCACAGTCCAGAGCCTGCTGCAAGTGGTGCAAGACAGAGCAAGCTGGCCAGATGGAGAAAGCCAGGCTGACAGAGAGACGGCCTCCCCATACACAGTGGTGCAGAACTGGGAGGTGGGGGTGGGGCCAGGAGCCAGGCTGTGCCCAGACATCAGCATGACTGACTGGGAGCCAGGAGCCCAGAGGTTCAGAACGCACAGCCTGGCTGCAGGTCAGGCCCTTTAAGGCACTGTGTCTGCTCCTCTCAGGGGGCGCAGGCGTCCCCAACCTCTTCCCCAGGGCCCTGAAGCTGGATTTTGGGGGGCAAGGAAAGCCGTGAGGGCAAGAATAAACAGAATGGACTTAATAAAGTGGATTTTCCCATACTGGCCGCTTTGTTGATCAGAATTGGCAGGCACTGGGGCCTCGTCCCCTCCCTCAGATCTTGTCTGCATCCCTGCCACGTGCACTGAACCCGGTCATGGATGCTTCACATAGCTCCTGTGTGGACTGCCGGCAGGGTCCCCTGACTGCAGGCTCAGCCCTCTGTGCTGGCCCCATGCAGCGATCACACTCACAGACCTGGCGCATTGAGACCAGGCTCTCTTTTGTTCCTCATCCCACCGGGCTCACAGTGGTGACCCTATCCTGACCTTTCCCCTCTGCACTTCCCTGTCAACTGTATTTACTTCAAGTCACATTGACCCCTCACTTGCAAACACAGGCCCGTTGCCAGTTCCCAGAGGGACCACTTCCCTGCATTACTGCTGACCCCCAAATAGTATCTTGCATCCCACCCACTGATGCCATTGTGTCCTGTCCCCGAACCAGGACCCAGCACACGAATTGAAGATGGTGATTTCATCCTGGCCACTGAGCCACGCCCTGGCCTGGCCATTCACTCTGAGCTTCCCCAGGAGTCTGTGTTCTTGCCACTGACTGGCCCTCCTCTTGCTTGGTGTATAGATGCCAAGGGCCAGTTCTGGCATAGAACTTTTGATGTCAGTCCAAGAGGACAATTTGGGGGGAGCATCTGAGAAATGGGTGAGAAATAATGGGACATCCAGACCCCAGAGGCATGAAGTGACTTACCTTCTCCTCGAGCCTGCAGCTTTGGGGTGTGAAGTCACAGCTGACCCCTTCCTGGCCCAGCTGACCCTCAGCCCCTCTGACTGCTTCAGTCTTATCAGGATTGGGAGCAGGTGGCGGGGGGGTTTCACCTGGGCTTCTGGAGGACCCTTTCGCTCATGCTCCCTGGGCTTGGAGCCTCAATATGCTCCTCTCATGAGCAAAGCATTAGGCTAGGGAGGAAGGCAGATCACACTGTGGGCTGGGGGTGGGTTCAAGGCTGCAGAGAAAGTGGGGGGCAGGGAACATGACATGGTGATGGGGGAACAGCCTGGGAGTAAGGGGCACCTCTGGCTGTGCTAGGGAGGATTGCAGTGACTGGGAATCCGAGCTCCACCCAGTAATGGCTTCATGTCCCTTCTTCCCACAGAGCACTCAGCCGCAGCCAAGACAGGCGGCTGCTTCCCTGCTGGAGCCCAGGTGCGCCTGGAGAGCGGGGCACGTGTGGCCTTGTCAGCTGTGAGGCCCGGAGACCGAGTGCTGGCCATGGGGGAGGATGGGAACCCCACCTTCAGCGATGTGCTCATTTTCCTCGATCGTGAACCCGACAGGCTGAGGGCCTTCCAGGTCATCGAGACCCAGGATCCCCCGCGCCGCCTGGCACTCACACCCGCCCACCTCCTCTTCACGGCCAACAATCACACTGAGCCAGCTGCCCACTTCCGAGCCACATTTGCCAGCCAAGTGCAGCCTGGCCAGTATGTGCTGGTGGCTGGGGTGCCAGGCCTGCAGCCTGCCCGAGTGGCGGCTGTCTCCACGCATGTGGCCCTGGGAGCCTACGCCCCATTAACGAGGCATGGGACACTGGTGGTGGAGGATGTGGTGGCCTCTTGCTTTGCGGCTGTGGCTGACCACCACCTGGCTCAGTTAGCCTTCTGGCCCCTGCGACTGTTTCACAGCTTGGCGTGGAGCAGCTGGACCCCAGGGGAGGGTGTGCACTGGTACCCCCAGCTGCTCTACCGCCTGGGACGTCTCTTGCTGGAAGAGGGCAGCTTCCACTCGCTGGGCGTGGCCGGGGCAGGGAGCTGAAAGGATCCTTCTACTGCCCTCCCAGAACTGCCCACATGGGTCATGGCCTCCCCACCAGGAAGGCATTGGCCTTGCAAGGGACCTGAATGGGGACACTGGTTCCCACCATCTCCTCCACCACAAAGATACAACATTGAGACTTGTACTGGGTGATGCCAGCGTCTCCCCAGCCCCATTTTGGTGTAGTGACAAAGCTGCAAGCTGAGCTGGCGACGGGGCATAGTCTCTCCTTCTATCCTAGAGACCAGTGGGTCCCAACCCAGCCAGCCCTCACTACGATTTTTCATTCCTGCCTCCCCCAATGGGGAGGGCCCATTGTATCCATCTGAGGCCCCTCTTGGGTGGGCTTGCACCTCAGTTGATGCTGCTAGATTCCCTGGGAGCCAGCAGGGAGCTGGCTGGACTCAATGCTGCCCAGAACTGAGCAGGCTGCAGGGTAGGACAGCCAGCCTGGCCATCCTGAGGCATGACCTTCCTCTCTGGCCACACTCCTCGGGACACATCCAGAGACTGTTGCTGTCAGTACACAGAGCTGTGTGTTCCAGCCAATGTGATCACAGTGCCCAGGACGGGGGCAGTGGGCTAGATATCCTGCCCACCCTCTGCCCAGGCTATACATTCCCATTTCTGCTGAACCATGACCCCTACCCCCTCCTCCGGTCAGTCTCCCCCACCTTATTTATTGGCACCGAGGGGGAAGCCCATGGGAAAATTTGGGGATGTTTTGGTCTTTTCTTCCTTTTGTAATAAAAATTATTTAAGTTGTTAGAGCCCTAGAGCCCAGAACACCAAGTAGGGCTGATACACTGCTAGCCTAGAACCGTGGGTGGGGCCGTCCAGGGCTGTGTGCACCTTCCTCCAAAGACAAAACCTTCAGAGCTCCCACCCTCTTTGCAGGGCCTTTCTCATCCAGTAGGTCTGCCAAGTCACAACAGAGGGCTGTTCAGAATGGGCCACAAGGCAGATGTGAATTCTACAGAATCTCTTCATGATCCAGTGAAAAGTCAGAGACTCACGCCCTGAGAAAGACCAGAATAAGTAAGGGAAGCCCCTTTACTTGGAAACAAGGAGATGTTTCTAGATAAGTAAAGTGATCATGGAATTGTTAGATCAGTTCTTTCTCTAGTCTGTGTTAGGCAAACTTTGGGGTCAGCATGAAGAGGCCTTGCCTGGCCTGAGTTAAGGTGCCTTCCCTGCTTATTCTGGTCTCTCTCAGGGCCCAAATCCTGATTCTTGGTCCCACTTCTAGGATTCTTCTTTCACAGATCTAGATCAGGATGACCCTTGTGGTCCAGTAGATTGAATCTCCCTGCCAATGCAGGGGACACGGGTTTGATCCCTAATTCAGGAAGATTCCAGATGCCTCAGGGTGACTAAGCCTGTGAGCTACAGCTACTGAACCTGGAGCTTCTAGAGTCTATGCTCTGCAACAAGAGAAGCCACCATGGTGAGAAGCCTGCACCTCAAACTTGAGGACGCCTATGCGCCGCAACGAAGACCCAGCTCAGCAAGAAAAAAAGAAGATCCAGATTGAGGCCTAGGAACTGATTTTTACAAATACTCCAAACATGGCAGGTAGTCCAATTACACTTTGAGAAACATTGTTTAGTCGGAAGGACACCAGTTTATTGCCAAAACAGGATGACCCCTGTCTTCATTTTCTCTTGGTCTCTGTATTCCACAGCAAGTTTTACTGTACTCAGTATAGACCAGCTGAGAGTCCCAGGTCCATTGATAAAATTGTTAAATATTCAGGAATACTCTGAAGCAGTTGAAATAGGCCATAGTGGGAATATTTACACCATAGAAATTGGCATATGCTACCAATTAGGGCTCCCTTGACTGTGGAGAGCTAGTTGTGAAAGCACACCCCTGCCCAGGTTCTAGCCTCTGATAGAGATTTCTGTCAGAAAGTGGCGGGGGGAGGACTGCCCTGACTCTTACTTTACCATCCCCACTTCCATGGAGGAATGCTCTAGAGAAAACTTCATTGCTCTGGAGACTGTCATCTGGGAGGAAGAGGCTCCCACAGGTTGTGATGACAACTGCTATCATTTAATGAAGACTAGATCCAACCAGTCCATCCTAAAGGAGATCAGTCCTGGGTGTTCATTGGAAGGACTGATGCTGAAGCTGAAACTCCAATACTTTGGCCACCTCATGCCAAGAGTTTACTCATTAGAAAAGACCCTGATGCTGGGAAGGGTTGGGGGCAGGAGGGAAGGGGACGATAGAGGATGAGATGGCTGGATAGCATCACTGACTCGATGGACATGAGTTTGAGTAAACTCTGGGAGTTGGTGATGGACAGGGAGGCCTGGCATGCTGCGGTTCATGGGTTCGCAAAGAGTCGGACATGACTGAGCGACTGAACTGAACTGAACCATTTCCAAACATTGTTCTAAGTGGTTTACATGTAGCACCCACTTCATTTTCATAACAACCCTATGTGGTATATATTATGCATGCATGCTAAATAGCTTTAGTCATGTCTAACTCTTTGTGACCCTATGAACTGTAGCCCACCAGGGATACAGTAATCTTTTGTCCATGGGATTCTCCAGGCAGGAATACTGGAGTGGGTCACCATGCCCTCCTCCAGGGGATCTTCCTGACCCAGGGATTGAACCCACATCTGTTATGTCTCCTGCTCTGGCAGAAGAGTTCTTTACAACTATCACCACCTGGGAAGCCCAGTATATACTATATTCTTACCATTTTCCAGATGAGAACACAGAGGTACAGTGAGGTTAAGTAACTTGCCCAAGATGATGCAACAAGTGACAGAAGCAGGATTTGACCCCATGCATCTGGCTTGCCTTTTCATACTGTTCATGGGGTTCTCAAGGCAAGAATACTGAAGTGATTTGCCATTCCCTTCTTGGAAGAAAAGTTATAACCAACCTAGACAGCATATTAAAAAGCAGAGACATTACTTTGCCAACAAAGGTCCATCTAGTCAAAGCTATGGTTTTTCCAGTAGTCATATATGGATGTGAGTGTTAGACTATAGAGAAAGTTGAGCACCAAAGAATTAATGCTTTTGAACTGTGGTGTTGGAAAAGACTCTTGAGAGTCCCTTGGACTGCAAAGAGATCCAACCAGTCCATCCTAAAGGAAATCAGTCCTGAATATTCATTTGAAGGACTGATGTTGAAGCTGAAACTCCAATACTTTGGCCTCCTGATGCAAAGAACTGACTCATTATAAAAGACCCTGATGCTGGGAAAGATTGAAGGCGGGAGGAGAAGGGGATGACAGAGGATGAGATGGTTGGATGGTATCACCGACTCAGTGGACATGAGTTTGAGTAAACTCTAGGAGCTGGTGATGGACAGGGAGGCCTGGCACGCTGCGGTCCATGGGGTCAAGAAGAGTCGGACATGGCTGAGAGACTGAACTGAACTGATCTGGCTCGCAGGTCCACTGTTCTTACCAGAGGCTTTTCCTTTGGTAAACTTGGGTCTTTTCCAGAAGGCATGCTCAGCATTTAAGGACTTGAAATCTGCTTTGTCATGCCACCTGGAGTGGACTACACATCGCCTTGTGGAAGACACTCACAGACCAGGTTCATAGGGACCAGAACATCTATGAACACCTTTGCAGTAAGAAACAAAAGGTCAAGGTCAGGAGGTCATTTGCACATTCTGTCTTTTACAGAAATTTTGCATGGGGTGGGGGAGAGAGTGAAAGAGAGATTGAGGCTCTCTCTTATGGGGGGCCTACCTGCCCCTCTTATGGGGACTGGAGACACTTTGTCCTGTAGACACAGAGCCATTTGGTGTTCCTAGACCTTCTGTTCTAAAAGAGCTTCCTCAGGAAATACACTTATCTTCAGAGATGGCTGAAGAGATTCAGAAAAGCACTTTGAAGCCAGACCCTGGAAAAGACCAACCTTGGGATAGAGGTGAGGCCCTGCAGTTTTTCGGGGAATCCTGACCCAGAACTGTGATGATGGTACCAGCTGGACAAGTAGAGTCAGCCTGGAAAGTTATCCTTCACCTCTGCAGTGCTATAGTCCAGTTCCTCCCACCAGAACCAGCTTGCTTATCCTCCTTAAGATGCCGAGGCCCAGAGGAAGGTCAGCCATACCACCCAGACCCAGAGAGCTACTGGTCCCATGCCTGCTGTTCTTCATGGGCCTAAGTTCAGCCCTGAAGGCCATTACATCCACAGTGGTCATTGCTCTCCTGCAACTTTTGCCTGAAGGTGCTGCCTGCGGAATGGCTTCTGACAGTGAGCAGCGGTGTGTTGGAAAAGGCTGAGCCAATGCAACAGTCCTTTAGGCAACCAGGCCTGCTGTTAGCACTTGTAGCCCCAGGATGGGAAGTGGAAATAGGTGAGTGAAAAAGTGAAGTGTTAGTCGTGTCTGACTGTTTGCAACCCATGGAGTGTTGCCTGCCACGCTCCTCTGTCCATGGAATTCTCCAGACAAGAATACTGGAGTGGGGAGCCATTCCTTTCTCCAGGGGATCTTCCCAACTCAGGGATCAAACCCAGGTCTCCTGCATTCCAGGCACATTCTTTATTGTCTGAGCCACCATGAAAAATCTTAGTAAAATGCCCCTTCAGGAGATCCAACTAGAAAGGCAGCACTCCTGGCCTGGCACCAGGAAGTCTGTTTAGGAGAAAGCCTCACACCAAGGGCACGGAGCTCACAGAAGTTCTGGATTTCAGGCCCCGCCCCCTTGTCTGACCAGCCTTTGTGCAGTGTACAACTTATACAGATTTCAATTCTGGCCCCAACTGGTCTGGGTCTCTGCCAGGTTCAGACAGATTCTGCCAGTGGCGACAATTTGGAGAGAAGTTCCTACAGCATCACACAAGAGGGGCTGGGGAGAAATAAACAGGGGTGAGGATGGGATCTTCAATGTCTGGAGACTTCCTGGAAGTGGTTTGGGGCTTGGCATAAATGACTTGGGCAAGAGGAGGTGGATGGATCATTGGGAGCAGGTGTGTGGAGGAGAATCGTAGGGCATGCTCAAGGACTAGGAGCCAGT